TCTACGTTCTCTTCTCCATTGTTTTTTTTGGTAACATGTTCTCTTCTCCCTTCTTCACTGTAAATAACATCCAATTCCATGAAATCTCCCAAGAAATTTGAATTTGAGAGACAAACCAAATCCCTAGAGATGATGGTGGTTGATATTTGATGTTTCTCTTACGCCTCCAGATTGATGTTTTACGTATCTCTGTTAATTTTTTTGGTGAAATTTCTGGATAATTTTGTTATTGTAGGTCTGAATTTTGTGAGATTCGATTAATTTCATCCGCTTGAACTGTTGTTAGCTTCTAGATTATCGATTTGTTGTTTGATTTTGCTAGCTTCTTCTCGATTTAGGTTATTTGTGCTCTCTACGCCACACCTGATGTGATTCTCCGTCCCTAATCGCCATCTTCTTTTCCACCATTGATTTCGTCGAATTAGAAGATTTCACGGGTACAGAGAATAATGGAGAAGAGAAAGTGAAGGGTAAGAAAGGCTATTTATTATGTTTTATATGTATAGTTGAACAAGAATAGTTACTTTGGATTCGTTGGTTACGTAGTTGTGTATTAAAGCCAACGGTAGTGGGTTCAATTCCCAGGTTGGTAATATTTTGTTTTAGATTTTTTATTTTACGAAACGACGTCATTTTGTGGAAACGACGTGGCATCCCAGTCAGCATTTGTTAACGGAACTTTAACACCATTTGTCGATTTGTTGGTTTTGACCGAATTTATATTGTTCGTGTAGGAAATTCAAATTTTAGTTTAGTTCATGTAGGTATAGGCACAACTCAAAGTTCTGTGTATAAATGCGATAAAGCAACTAAGTTCAGGGGGGAATTGGCCGTTTTCCCATATGATGACACATAGTAGAAAATTAGTAAATGCGGCAAAACGATAAACACTCAGCGGAAGACAAGAATCCATGAATTCGCTTTAGACTGAGGTATCTAAAAATACAGGATCGAAGTTTTAACCATATGAAAACATAGGGAACTTGCTCTAGACCTCATTCTCCACTTGTTTTTTCTTTGACCTCCCTAAATATTTTCAATTCATCTCTCAAAATAGTTGTTTTTTCTTCGAGAAAATTGTAAAAGTGCAGAGTAAATCGTGGATTTAGTATGGGTTGATTTAGAGCACCTCTCTCAAAACTCTTTTCCTATCGACTTTTCTTTTATGATCACCTATATGGTTAAATTTCTGACTTAAATATCGAAAACCATATGGAAGACAATCTTTCATCGTTTCAAGTTTTCTAACCGTTGTTGTGGTTGCATATCTCATGTGTTCTCTCGAAGACAAATTTGCTCTATCAAAGCAACAACTTTTCTTTGCATTGACCAATAAGTAATCTTTACCAAAAATTTACCCCAAACCATTTAGTAGATGATAGTGTATAAGATGTTTCGGTCATTGAAGAATAAAAAGCACAATCGTTGCATCGATTTTTGTGCCATTCTCTCTCTCTTGAAGACGATTTCCGGTTCTAGATCTAGGTTTTTTTAGGTAAATTACTGGTCTTAACGACGGCGGAGGTCTCTCGAAGGTGGCCCAGGAGTGAGTCTTTGTGCTTCTCCGTCAACAGAGGTGTGGTGCTTCCCCGTTGATGTGGTTGTGGCTCTAGAATGGCGGAGGAGGAGCCCCGATGCAGTGAGCTCTCGGTTGAGGACGCTGGGAGTTGTGTCGATGCTCCTCAGGCTCGACCGTCGGACTGGAAGCTGCGTCCACGGCGGAAGTTGGCGGGGATAAGGTGGGGCTGTTGTTTTGATAGGTGGCTAGCGGTGGATCCATAGGATCTACGATGGCTGATGCGGGGGTCGGATTTAGAGGTAATGGGCGAGCCACCGTCCTTTAGATCTGCCGCGTTGGGTGAGCCGACTGTCCGGATCGAGGCATGAAGACTCTGGGGCTTCGGAGCTTTCCGGCGAAGGAAGAGAGAGGATAACTCCAAGTGTGACAGGTTGCTAGGTTGGGATCTGTTACCGTCGAATCGTTCGTCGGAGTGGCTAACTTTCTGGGAGGCTTGTGGTGGACTGGTTCGTCGGAAGAGCGAGAAAGCTGTCGGAAACCGGAATCTTCCACCGGTTTTCTCAATCCTCTGACGCGGCTATGAAGTTGTGGGCCTTGATTCTGCCAGATCTAAGGTTTGGTCACTCTGCGGACGATGATCAACAAGAGTCGAGTCTTTTTATTTTTTCCGGCGAGTCTCCGGTGTACCTGTTTTGTTACTGGGTTTCAATTTGTTGTAGGCCAAGGCCCAAGCCCATTTGGGTTTTTTATATATATATATATTAAAAAAAAAAAAAAAAAAAAAAGATGTTTCGGTCCAATAAATAAAAAAAAAAGTTTATTTTCGGGTTTTAGTTAAATATATATTTTTTGGTTTTATATTAAATATATTTTTATATTTTCAAGTATATTACAAAAAACTAAAAATTATGAGCCTTATTATTTTGTTTTATTTAACAAAATGTGTCTTTTGTCTATGATTTTTTTTTTTAATGTATAGACCTCTGGTCCACGCATTTCTGTCATACCTTTTTGGATTGAGACTGTGTAGAAGGTAACAAAGTGATTTATTTATAATTTAGATTTTATATTGTATCAAAAATTGCATGTTTAATTTGTTGATGATATATTAAAGAAGACTAAAATTATATATGGCGAATATAGCACGTGATCAGTATACAAAAATCTTATATCTTCCAAGCAATGCAAATAACATGAGTTCAAAAAATTTTAGCAAGTAGAGAGAATTATAACACTTTTTGAAAGAAAATTTAATTCTTAAGTAATCTGCAAGGCGGATATATAATATGAGAGATAAATGAGTCACTCAATGTTAGTTTGTTTTGCAATAACATTAATAACCAAGGTGACCTTTGCCTAATATGTAACAAATAAGCATCAATAATTAAATAGCGGCCCCAAAATCACTATTTTTGTTCCCTTCTTTTGAGGTAATGAGAGGATAGAAAAGACAGAGAAGGTGTGCATGTACGAGGGTGTTGGTAGCTATCTTTTTCATCATCAATTTTCTTATAAAAACTATTGTATTCTAATACAAAAACTGATTAGTGTATATAGACATCAAAGCATGCTTTAAAACCAAGAGCCATGTTTTGGAAGAGTCGGGATATGTCCCGAGTTCGAGCACCAACTACTAGAAGAGGAGTGTATTTGCACTACTTCAATCCTAGGGTTGAGGAACTGTATTGATTTCGACTTGAAAATTTTCTCAGAGAAAAATTAAACTAGTTTAAATTATATGGCATTTGATTAGAGTTAAATAAGAACACTACAGTTCTGACTAATGTGTAAACAAAGTAAAAATGTGGAAATACAAAAGCTGAAAAATAGAAGAATAAAAAATTTGAAAGTGGTGCAAACATTTCCACTTCTTTAAAATAGATGAAAATTTTACTCTATTTTGGTGTTTTTGTTTAATTTTTCCATCATAATTGAGTTAGTTTTTTTCTTGCTTTTACTCTGTTTGGTTCAAACAAACTTCGAAATAGAGGAACTCATCAAAATTCTAAAACAAAAATTGTAAACTATAAAATATAAATGTTTTATAAAATGATAGAATTTACAAATTTTTATATATAATATATAACCATTCAATTTTAAAAATCACTAAATTTAAAAATAAATTGTCCAAGGTGCATCGCGGGTTAAAATCTAGTATAATCAAAGCTGTATATATATTTAGATGAGCCTAATACATCCCATCAGTAGCTTGGATCCTTTTTGGATATTGCCAAATCCAAAAGAAATTAACAGTGACAAGCTAGTGTCTAGTTATGTGGGGTGTCTAAAAGGAAGTCTTAAGTCTATACATGGGCAAAGGACATCTATACAGATCATCATAGCCGTAATTCACCAAAACAATTAAAGCCTTAAAATCCATTAAACAAGGCTTGAATAAAATTAAATAAAGGTTTGTACTATTTTGTAGTATCTATGGAACATGTTACATGTCGGTCCATTGGAGTGACATAAACTCTTTTTCTCATTCGACCAATAAAAATTGGAAAATGAAAAAAAAACGAATGATTTTATTTTGGCAATGTAACCAAAAGAAAATGCAAACTGAAACTATACCCTAGGCCTGGGCATTCGGGTACCCGTTCGGGTTCGGTTCTTTTTTTCGGGTATCGGGTCTATTCGGGTAGGGGGTCGAGACCCATTCGGGTATTCTAAAAATTCGGTTCGGGTTCGGTTCGGTTCGGGTATTTTAATAAAAAAGCAAAATACCCGAAAATAACCACAAAATACCCGAAATATTTTCGGGTTCGGGTCGGGTTCGGGTTTTTTACTCGTATATACCCAAATCTAACCGAAATACCCGATTTCTCAAAAATACATTGGTTACTATTTGTCCAAATATAACCAAAAATATCTAAAAATACTAAAATTACCCAAAAGAAAACTACATCATTAGTTACTTTTTAACCAAATATATCCAAATGTATCCGAATTACTCAAAAATACCTAGTATATTCGGATTTATGATTGTAATTTTAGGTATTTCGGATATTATAAGTATAAATATAACTAATATTTTTAGGTGTATATTTGTATTCGGGTATCCACGGGTATTGGATTCGGTTCGGGTTCGGTTCGGGTTTTTTTCGGGTAGGGGTCTAGGATCCATTCGGGTATTTTTAAAAATCGGTTCGGCTTCGGTTCTGATATTTTTTCGGGTTTTTCGGTTCGGGTATTCGGTTCCGGGTATTTTGTCCAGGCCTACTATACCCTACGAGCTGGTCGTTGATTTCTACTCTTTCTTAATACGATGAAGAATTTGATAGGGTCAAGATTTTTTTTTCTCTAATTCAATGAATCAATCACAAAAGACGAATATAGAACCCAAAGAAAGTAGTAGAACTCTAGGATGAATTCGAGAGCACTCTAAATTCTTCTAAGCCCAATCCAAGCCAAGCCCAAGATCCTAGACCAATTCCAGAATCTTCAATTATAAGTTATAACACCATAAGTCAGATTAGAAAGTTTGGAACAATCTTAATTCTTGAGACATTAGTACATTATAAACATAGATGCTATATGTTTGGAACAACACTACTTTCCATTATCATTCACCCAAAAAAACAAAATAGGAAGTGTGATTCACCAGATATTTATACACACAATAAAACCATATAATATACATCCATATGATTAACAAATACTTGGAATAAATAATTTGGATTGTTCTGACAAATCCATCAAAGCCTCCTCCACTAACTCCTCCAGCAATTTCAACTCTAGTTCCTCTCCCATGGAATCCATTTCCAATCTCAAACTCTCCTGCGAACCAATCTCAGCTACTTCAATCCTCACCACTTTATTCACCGCCAAACTACTCAAGTCTCCGTCTTCATCCCACCACCGATCTTCCACTCTTCCGTTACCCGTTAAACATTCTTGCATCCGGTTTATCACATAAACCTGCAATGGCTTACCAGAGAGTATCAAGGGACTACGAGGTCCGAGATAGCTCGGTGTTAGCTCCAAGAGCAGCGTGTTGACGAGGTCGAACACTAGGTTCTTCATGTTTGATCCAAGTCTTTTCTGTTCTGTTGAGTCTGCGTAGCTGTTTCTCAGAAGTGGGTCTAGTGGGCTCTCTGCAGAATGCCATTTAGACAAAAGATTGTCTGAGATTGCATCGAGATCAGCTGCTGATAAGAGTGCGTTGATGAGGAGACGCAAGTCTTCTTCCTCGTCTCTTGTGGAAGTAGTAGAGCGTTTAGATGAGTAGCACCGAGCAACTGTTGAGTCATCGAATGATAAGGTTCGACCAATGGACCCTATCGGAGGCGATTTTCCTAATAAGTTGGACTTCATCTCCCGTTCTGTTTTTCAAAGATTGCGGTTAATAAGGAATCCATGTGACATCGGATAGATAATAAAGAGCGAAGCTTTAAAAGAAACCTTACCAAGAGAAGATGATGATCTATTCAAGATAGAGGAATTAAAAAAGATTCCATCATCCTCATCAAAAGAAGTTTCCAGGACCGAAATTGGACTAGGCTCATCACGCCACTCACTAGAGTTTCCGAAAATGGTCGGCTTTGCAATTGATAAGCCGCCCTGTTGAGACACAGAAAAGAATATATGTTTGTAAATAAAAGAATGCAACAGATGAATGAATTGAAATAAGCAAATGTGTTTTATATGATTACTACTACCTCCCGAGAATTCATGCTTCTGGCAGACACTGATGCATCATATTCATCGTTACACCGAGAATCTAAGATTTCGGGGTTAACCATTTGGGATTCCTCATAAGATCTCTCCTTACTGGCTTTCTTGCTTCTTGAGAAAAGAAAGTTTGAGACTTTACCTTTCAGAGACCATTTCAAGCTCTTTGACTTTGTCAGCTCCTCTGGAACTTTGGATTTCCCCTTGTTAGTACTATCAAGGGATTTGTGACCAAGACTTGTTGATGATTCAGGGAGAGATTTTGATCGTGTAAGGCTTTTAGGAGGCTTTAATTTTCCTTCTTCTCTACTGAAATTACCATCAAAGCAAGATGCAGATACTTTAGGACCCTCTTGTTCATTACCATCCCTTGTTTCTTCTTCTTCGGTTCTAAGATCTTCTCTTAAATCTGGAAGTGCAAGCATATCACCTAAGGTACTATTAGAACCTTTCTTTTCGATAACATTGGTCTCCTGCAAATTCTCATTGGCTGCTGCCATCAATGCCCATCTTTCTGAAAGCCGTTTCTTGGCCTCTCTGCAGACGGATGATGATTCGGGAGAACCCGAGGCTCTGCTAAAGGGCGAAGAAGAAAAAGGGCTATCGTACTTGTTAATATAATCCCATGAATGCCTAGAAACCGGTGACATGATTTCAGAATCTGCATAGTCGTTAAGAGAACTATCATCGCCTATATAGCCGTTGGAGAAGCCAGAAGATTGTAAAGTTTCTTCCTTACGTATCTGACTCTTCACTCTCCTAGCCACATCTCTAGACTCTCTCTCCTCAAAACCTCTTGGAGAGGTTGGACATGATGAAGCCTTCGTGACATGGCCATTAGGTTTCAGAACAACTATTCGAGTTGATTGCTTTGTCGGATATTCTTCTTTAACCGGCCATTTGAACAAATCAAGACCTTTACCACTCTTAATTCCGTCCTTCGAAGATTCAATGGCTGCCTCACCATCAATGGTCTTTGAAGGCTTTAGAATAGTGATCCGCTTAGACTTCTCTGAGGTAGGTGGATCTGTAGACTGGAAACTGTGGAGATGATGAGAGAAGAAGTTATTTGATTCCTGCAAAAACTCGAGGAACAACTCCTTGTTCGAACTCAAAACTTCCATAGCTTCTTGAAACTCTTTAGAATGTCGAAGTTTATCGTCTGTAACCAAACGTTTCGCCTCCAAGAACTTTTGACGTACAATGTCCATCTTCTTCTTGCTTAAACCCTCCACACCATTACTACTCAACTCCCCGGGTTTCTGCCAAATCTCATATACACCTTTATACTCCCCGTGACTTAACGACCTCTTTAGACGAGGCTTTGAACTATTACTCCTAGGAGTAGATTGTGTCTGAGGAAACGAATCAAGACCCATCAACTTAGCAACTAAATTAGTCGAACTTAGCTTAAATTCCATCTCTCTCGACATTTCTTGTTCCAAAAGCATCTTCATCGGTGTTCCATTGACTCCACCATTCCTTACATTCTACACTCCCAATAAAACAAAAGATTAACACTTTCTCATTACATAAACAAAACCAATCAGAGAAAGCAAAAAAACTCACAACTTTATCTTCTATTTGATCAAACTGATTCCTCTTGATAGACCCTGTGAAGCCATCATACATCATTCATCAACATCAAGTGCCTTAAAGATCTTTAACTTTAAATAGAGAGAGATAGAAGAAGAAACCTAACCATGATCAAAATAGGGTTTCTCAGAGAGCAACTTCTTTCCATTACCAACTGTTCCAAAATCGAAAAGATTAACCATCCGACCTAAACATCCATGAGCCTGAACGTTTCTTCTTCGTTGCTTATTCATTTCTTCAACGCCTGAAACATTACAATTCACCATTAACAAAAAATCAGAAAAGCTTTCTCAATCAAAGTCCAAGAAAACTTCGGATATAAGAAAAAAGAACCGACCTTAGTGAATATTTACTAGGGACTTTGAAAGGAAACAAAAATCTTGGGGAAATAAAGGAAGAATCTTGAGAATTAAGAGCAATCAATATTCATCAAATCAGAAGCATTTATTAACCAAACTTCGAATCAATCACAAAGAGATACTACTACACTAAACTTCCAGGAGCGTTTACAAACGCAAACGCAGAAACTGCGTTACCGACACCATAAGAACAGAGAGGAAAAAAAGGCAAGTTGATTGGAAAAAAACACATAGAACGTTAAAAGCGAAAGCGATCGCGAAAAGAACTGTAAAAGTAAAATAAGGTTTCACCATAAAACGACGGCGTTTCAACTGACAAAGACAGCAAAAACAGAGAGACAAATACCAATCTGCCGGAATCTGCATTCTCCGGTGAAAGGTACAAACTTTTTCGTCGGAATTTTGATTAAAAGCAATAAAGAAGCAAAAAAAAAAGAGTCACAGTAAGAGAAAGACAAAGACCTGTGTACCGGAATCTGCATTCTCCGATGAAATTCCGCCGGAGGTTCAATTTAAGCAATAAAGGTAGAAGCTTTCACGCCGGAGTTACGATTTTAGACCTTAAAGGTAGGAACTTTTTTCGCCGGAGTTTCGATTAACGCGATAAAGGTGGAAGCTTTTTTGGCTAAGAAGACTTGCAGAGTCGAGAAGAAGATTATGGTGACATCACCGACGCAATGTCGGACTTGAGGCGCGTTTATTAAATGCGATTAATTAGAGACGACAGGTACGGAAGTGGATGATATAAAAGGAAAGAGAGAGAGAGAAGAGAAATGTGTTGTCCATAGATAATGGAGCAGGTTACGACTTCGGAACTACAAAACGGAGTTAGGTTTTTTCTTCTTTCTCAACGCGTTTCTATTATTACATTACAAGGTTGTGTTTTATTTATTTATTATTAATGTCGGAGAATTTTATATTAAGGTTGATTAACATACAATCATTAATGTCTTGTAATCCTTTTTCCTTAATTACTCCATATTAGGATATTTAAATATTCAGATTTCCTTAGTTATACGTTCTATTTGAATCGGAAGTTACATATAATGATTTTTACCAGTTGTAGAGTTTATCAAAGAAAAAAAAAAGAGTTTATCAAAATGACTCAATTCTTTAAAAAATTTATTGCTGTCATTGGAAGAAAGAAAAAACATGTCTACTACTTTTATATATTTGTTGATTTAAAAACTATATATAGTCAAACTCTTAACTCTATTTTATTAATTTTTTTTAAAAAAACTAAAAATATTAGTTATGATGTGGAAAGAATTATTTGCCATTTTGACCCATTTTCTTTTTTTTTTTATTTGAACCCATTTTCTGTCTATAATATAAGTTGCAAGAAACAAAAGTTAACTCTATTTTATTAATTAAAAACAAGAACGATCGAAGTTAAAAAATTTTAAACCAGAAAGGTGAGAATAATAGTAATCATTTCCAGCTTCTTAAGGCATGCAAAAATTTTAAATTTGAAAGTTTGGAGTGTCTTTTCAACTATATGTTAATGGAATAATAATTATGAACCGATCCTATCATGATTCGACAGTTCTGTAAAAGATTTCTAGTTTTTGTTCTTATTTATTTAATGAATTATTTTGTGACCTATTTTGATAGGGGAAAAAATCGCTATTAGCTTCTGATGGGGTTGGAATTTATTTGATAGGGTTCAGAGTTAGAGAAATCATTAATAATTTAAATTTCTTGGCCTACCGTATAGAGTAACTATCTAGGAATAATTATAACAACTTGCCTAATAAAGTCTACATTATTTCATACTATTAATAATTTTCTAAATCATTTATTATACAAAAAGTAATATCTGTAAATACCAAATATTCTTCAATCATTGTAGCCTTTTTCGCAAAGTTCATGGCTTTCTAATCTGATATAGCCTAAAACTAAGAGTATACACAGCGCTACCATCATGAGATTACTTGTTAAACATTTTTTAATTATTAAACTGAAGTGGAAGCGTCAGAAGAAAAAAGAGATAGAGAGAGATAGAGAGAAGAAATTTTTTTTCTTTTTTATAATGCCAACACTCGGGTGTTATCCTACATCCCACTTGCATATCTTCTCCAACTTTTTTAATATTTTTCGTTTTAATATTAGTCACACTCTTGTAAAGAGTGCACCAATGTGTATGCTCTAAGAGTGAAACACTTAGCATTAATCTTTGTTTATTTTTCTGTTAGTTAAGAGTGTTTGGTTTAATTAAACCAAGTAATTATCAAATTGAGTAGCAATTAGCAAACCAATGTAAACCAGTCTCCGATTCACCGACCAAACACGAGAAACATGAATCCAGCCGATACAACAACCGTCGGAGCCGTCGTGAAAGCAGTCCGACCCACCGTTGAAGAGGGATCTGAGAATGTACTCTATATTGACGTCCGTCTGATATACATCGGTAGTCTTATCGGTTCAGTCTTCATTGTTCTCACGCACAACGTGGATAACCAGACCGGCATAATGCTCGCTTTCGTCAACGTCCTCTACTTGTTCGTACACATGTCGTACCTTCATAGGAGACCAGAAGAGAGGGAGGCTTAGAGGAGGCTGGCAAAGGATCCGGGAAGAATCGCTGAAGATGAAAGATTTGTCGTCGTGCCTAAGAGAGTAGTTGCATTCATTTGCTTTCTACTTCTGGTCTACTTGGTATTCACAAGTTCCATTTCTTTGGAAAATTTTCGGATTTTCTGGCATTTGTGGTCAAGTTTATCAAATAGTAGTTAGATTTTATTTTCTTGTTTCCCGAGCGGAATCTCTGTTGTAATAATTCCGGTGTCTTGTGGTTGTAATAATTTTGTTCCATATATATATATATAAATCTCTTATTTTGAAAAAAAAATAAAAAAATGAAACCCTCTATACAAAAATTACATGTAACAGTGTTGGTTGAATTGAATAATTCTTCGGTAATTTAGTTAATATGGTATCAAAGTGTTTCGTCGCTAAATCACTTTGAAGATGACTATTAGTGTATATGCTTTATTTATTTATTAATCTAAAACTAATAAAAATGAGATTATTCATATAGCTCAAATAGTTTTTAATTTGTGTGAAAGTGACAAACGACATTTTACTATGTGTCCTTGTTCATTTCTGGACAAATATATATTTGCAGGTTAAGGTTCTAGTCTTCATATATTTTCTTCTTTTTTTTTTTTTTCTTTTGGTAAAAGTCTTCATATATTTTCTAACAAAGATTACTATACAAACAAAAAGAAAAGGGGAAAATTCCCAAAAAAAACCTCAAGTATTTTTTATTTGGAAGTTTAATGCCCAATTCTTTTTGGTTGGAATAAAAATACATTATTTAAATATTGTTGGTCAAAAAATACATCATGTTAAAATTATTGGTAATTTCAAACTTGCGACTTAACAGCCGTCAACGGACGTTACGGCATTATTTAACGGTGTTAAATTTTAACTTCTCGTATTTTAATAGATATGTATAACATGTTTGGAAAATATGATTAGAATATTACCGTAGTCTGGTGGTAAAAGGTTTGTTTTGCAACCCACAGAACCCAGGTTCGATCCTCCGATTTTTTTTTTTATATTCTCTTTCTCACCTCCTTCACAAAAACCCTACGGCGAACATCGCCGCCGATGTAAGCTTGAGATTCGAACCTGTACCGTTGCCGTAGGGCTTGAGATTCGTTTATGACTGAACTTTTTCTTTTTGTTATTGAAGGACATGATTTCATCATCATCTTCTCTTCTTCTCCAACAAACCTTTGTTTTTTAAAAATGGTTTTAAAGGAAACGTGAACCAGTGGTGAAATCTATGGGAATTAAATCCAATTTGAACTTGTTAATATAGAGAATATTGTAATTAATGGGTGAATTAGGGAACTAATTCTTCAATTGAATCTTCAAATTGGTGAAACGAATTACATAACATCACGATTTAGCATAAATGAGCGATATAGCGTCTTGAAGAAGTGAGGAGGAAGAAGAAGAAGAAGGAGATAAGGCGGGAGGAAGTAAGTCATGCGACAGCGATGAGATTTGCGTAAATAGCAGAAGGAGAAGGAGGAGCGATATAGCAGTCATGGTACAGCAAAGGAGAAAAGGGGAAAAAAAAAGAAAAGATGTCAGTGGGTGAGATTCGAACCCAGATTATATGAGTTACAAAACCAAACCGTCACCGCTAGACTACGGTGATATGTTGGTATAGCAATCTAAACATGTTTAATATATCTATTTAAATACATGAGATTAAACTTTAGCACCGTCAATGATTCCGTAACGTCCGTTAACGGCTGTTACGTCGCAAGTTTGAAATTACCAATAATTTTAACATGATGTATTTTTCGACCAACAATATTTAAATAATGTATTTTTATTCCAACCAAAAAGAATTGGGCATTAAACTTCCAAATAAAAAATACTTGAGGTTTTTTTTGGGAATTTTCCCAAAAGAAAAGTTCAGATTAATTGAGAGAGTTTAGGACGTTCTATGTTCACTTGCTTCCGTTGAAGCTTCCTTCTTCTTGTATATCTTCGATTATTGACTTTTTTTTGTTGCTTCACTTGATCATTGACTTTATTCTACGTTATCCAATCACATGTTTTTCTTCCCGGTGTGGCCGCACCAGAAACAAAATTGTTAATTCGTAATCTCTCCTTAACATGTTTTTGATCAATATCACAACTTTGTTACTACAAGATTTAATTCAGATAATACTTTTTGAGTTAGAAAAAAAAATTTAACATTGGTGGTTGAATGATTCATTATAAGGTTCGATTTTTTTTACTATAATTTTTTATCATGGTTGACTATTGTGAATATTTTGAATGGGATATTAACATTATGGTAATGTAAAAACGACTTTAAGAGAATCCCAAGGAAAATAACTTTTCTTGGGAAAAAAATCCTCCATTGTAGATAGATTTTGTAATGAGTTGGGCCTTAAGCTATCATTTGTTTTCTTTATAAACACCCTAAAGGGCATTTAAGCTTAACACTTGAAAGGCCCGATCTGACCCACAAAATTGAAATGCAAGAGTTTCTACTTTCTAACACTTTGCGTTAAATCAAATCGACCTAAACGAGTAAAAGCTGAATCAAATTTTAGTTTGATTAGATTTTTTTTTTTAATGATTTGGTATCAATTGTAACGTGAAATCGTATGTGGTTGTAAGAAAACTAATCAAACCCTTTATTTCAAAAGGCTAAACACACGATGATTATGGCAAAACGAAAACAGAATTCAAACTCAATCCTATATAAGCTTAAAACCTAATTCGTTCAACAACATAAAAACCAAAAAAAAAAAAAAAAAACCTTATCGATCAAAATAGTTTGTTTAGATAAAACTAACAAACCCTACTTTCATCAAAAGATTTCTCTAAGTTTTTGAACCCTACTTAAAGCCATTAAGATACGACTGCACCATCACGTTAGACGACGTCGCTCCGAACGAACGAGCTTCTTCAACTTAAACAAAAATTTACGAGCCATTGATTCTTGACGATGTAGATTTGTATCAGATTTGGCTTGTTGTAACTTGTAGCTCATTAGATAGACACAACGACGTCGTTTGTAATCATTTTCTTGACTCAATAAAAAGTCAGCACTCAATTTCTCTGAAGTTACCTCTAAATCACATGTTGACGACTTCTTTGGATTTCCTTCTCTATCCCAAACTTTTTCATAGATCCAATTCTCGTTTTCCATCATCTTCTTCTTCTTACTTGAAATATGTTAACTTTTTCTTCTATCTCTCTCTTTGTAATAGTAAAGGTTTTGTTACTACAAAACCGAGGGTTTGTGAAAACTGAGGGATTCAATAGTGTTACGGTATGTATACAATATATATCCTACTGTTTCCCTTTTCTTTTTTTTGATAATTTATGTTTCTTTTCTTTTCTTTTTTTTTGTTAAAGGATAATGTTAAGTTTCCGATTTGATGATATATTTAACATAATTGTATTTGTTGGTTATTGTAGAAACACAAAGAAAAAATAAATCTTATTATAGATTAGAAAGTTTAGAACTCTGACGAAACCTTACAAATCTTATTATATAAAGTTGGGTTTTCAATGCTAACTCCGTGATCGCGACAAGTGTCAAGTCTATCGATCAGAGATATATGCTGATATGTGTCAAAAAATATTTAATTTTTTTTCTTTAAAAAAATAGCAAAACTAAAAAAAAATGTCATATTTACATATAATAATTTATATGTCTATATCTAAAGTTTTTTAACTTTTATTTTTCTTAACCAAAAAGAAAACTAACCATTTTTTTATACATGTGTTAGTAGTCAATTAAATTTGGCATGTATATAGTTAAAAAAAAAATAATTTAGCATAATTATAAACTAATAAACAATGACTATTGAAGTTCAAAATAACAATATAAGTTATTTAACTTTAATTTAATTGGATAAAAATTGTATTTATTATTGTATAATGCTTTTATTCGTTAAATGAAATTTTTTTTGAAAAATTAATGATATTATAAGAATGAAATTTTGAATACTTGATGAGAATATTAGTATAGTTTACTTATGTTTTATTCTAAAAATTTCAACGTATATAGGCATAAGTGAAAACACCAAAAAATGGCTTATAGGAATTAATTTTGATTCATTGCTGAGAATGTTAGTATATTTTGTTTTATGTTTTATTTTTATTAATTTTAGTAATTTAAAATTAGTTTGACATGAGGTAAAGTTATCTTATGAGATTACAACATATAGAAAAATTATATTTTAACAATATTTATTTTCCAAAAAATTTGAGGAGTTTTGTTTTTGTTAATAATGTTTTCTTATTTTTATATTATTTTAATATTAACTAAGATATAGATTTGATATGATATACATATGATTTTGATATAAATTTATTGTACTAATCCATTAAGATAAAGTGTGTAAAATCGAAATCCAGTTTATTGTGATGAAACAGATGGTTGTATTGTATTGCAAAATAAAATTTGCAAGATTGAGATTTGGTTTTTAAAAAAGATACTAAATCAAATATAGAAAATTGTGTGGATTGATATTTAAAATTCAAATATCATCAATAAGATGGATTGTGTATAATTAAAATTTAATTTTTTATTATAAAATAATAGTTAAAGTGTATAGCATAATAGAATGTGTAAGACTAAAATTTGGTTTAAAAAAAATTATTAAATAAAATATTAGAAAAAATAACAAATACTATTTAAAATTTAAATATTATCAATAACACTTTTCTTAATCCGGGTTTTATCTAGTTCAGTATAAGAATTTCATTACAACGATGTTTAAAGAGGCTTACATAGTTTAGCTTTTTAAGTGGACCAAAATTTGGGTCTTTGAGATCTCGTCAAGTTTACTTAAGATATCAGAATTTCTTTCTATTCATTCACTTACAATTCCGGTTACAACTTTATTTTACCCAAAAAATAAAACCTTATAACTTTATAAGTTTATTTTGTCGTATTTTATATATAAAAAAACACTTATTTTCCAATATTTACCCAAAAAATCTTATTTTGCAGGGAAAATTAACTCAAATAAAAGGAAATAATGAATTCTTTATTATTATTGTATTTCATAATACCATTACAAAAACAAAAAAAATAAAGAGAAAAATAAAATAATAATGAAGAGAAAGGCCACGTCATCCTAAGTTATACAAAACGCCCAACACAGCCTTCAAAAACAACACCGTTTGGGTCTTCAGGAGAGGGCTCTCTTTATCTCTATACTTTGTTTACAAAAAAAATGGAGACATAATAAATAAACACTCTTTGTTAAAAATAAAATAAATGATTCTATAAGCCCTAACTTGAGCCCTAAGCAACTGAAATGCATCTGCGGTGACCCACTCGTGTTCTCATTTTCTGTCGTTTTGTCTCTTCTCTCCACACGTTTCCAATGTCTTTAGCGATGTTAACGGCATCTGCTGATGCTCCAGCCAATCCTTTCCTTGTGAATCCAGCCGCGTAAAGTCCCGATTTCCCTTTCCACGCGTTTGGAAACGGCGATTTCGGGAACCCGTTTTTCGAAAACAGATCATTTTCTTGGAGCCATGAAGGGACGTTGCTACGGTAACCCGTGGCGAGAACCACCGCGTCGAGATCTAATCTCTGACCGTCTACTAGCTCCACTTGGCTACGAGAGAACCGTCTGATTCCGGGGACGATTTCTACTTCGCCGGATTTGATTTTCTCCATAGCTCCAATATCAAGAACTGGAGTCTTCCCTGAAACAATCTTGAGCTCCATTGGGCCCATCTTGGGCCTCTTTAGACCATACTTTGTCAAATTTCCCAAAATCAGCCATGCGAGAATCAGTAGAATCTTGTCTACTAGCCATAGAGGAAACCATTTCATCAACATCACCGAGATTTCGAAACTCGATTTGCCAAGAATCTCTCTTGGTAACACATGAACTGAGCTACGAACAACCATGGAGGCATTAGCATTGTGATTTGCAAGATCAAGAGAAACTTCCATGCCAGAGTTTCCACATCCGACGACAAGAACACTCTTTCCTCGGTATTTCTCGCCGGATTTATACTCACACGAGTGGATCACCTCGCCTTCGAACTCCGTTGTGAGCCCATCGATCTCTGGAATAACCTTTTCCGCGTTTTCTCCAGTCGCCACCACTAGCCACCGGCAGATATATTCCATCTCCGACACCGAGGACGGCGACGATGTTGTCTTGATGCGCCAAAGACCACTGGTTTCGTCGTATCGAGCTGACTGGACACACTCGTTGAACTGAGGAGTAATGTCGAATTTGTTTGCGTAGGACTCAAGGTACTCGATGAACTGTCGTTTTGTTGGATATTCCGGGTAGTCTTCCGGGAAGGGCATTTTGGGTAATTGACAAACTTTCTTTGGTAAATGAAGTTTGATTCTATCATAAGTTCGTTTCTGCCATAGTGAAGCTATGCAATCTGTTCTCTCCAATACAACAAAGGGAACACCTTCCTCGCGGAGGCAAGCCGCCGTGGCTAGCCCCGATGGCCCGGCTCCGACGATTACCGGACCGTTAACCCAAATGCACCGTCTTCTGTCCGAGAAATCTTCACTTCCCATGAGCCTAAACATGTTCTCCATTTCTAGGGGTGAGTTTGATCGAATCAAGATTATACGTAGTGAAAATCAAATATTTTAGGTAGATTTTCGGGGATGATTTTGATCGAATGGAAAGAATAGGTAGTGAAATTGAGTAAGCTTTTTTTTTTTTTGGTTTGTTTGTTGCTTGAGGAATGAGATGTTTTGGAATGTGTTTGGAGGAAGAAGTGGTGTGGATGTGTTTATATAATGGACAAAGTAAGAGGACGCAGCATGTGATCTTGTGATTAGCGCGTTCTAAGGTTAATTTTTAATCAATTTAATAAATACAAAGGTTCTTCAATAAGTGTATGTAATAATTTATTGAGGTTTCCCATTTAATCATATGCTTTTGCTAAAAATGCGAAATAGTTTACATTATTTTGAAGCTTTTTTTCTTATGGAATCATTCGATTCTTTTCTTCCAAAGTTTCTGATGGGGCTTTGATTAGAGTATCTCGTAACAATCCATAATCATATCCATGCCCCGGTTTATTAGTATTAATTAGTTGGTGATGATTATAATATAATTGCTTTATGGTATATATTGAGATTGTACTTAATAATTTTGAATATTACAAAGATATAGTTTTAAATTTAATGATGTGAAAGGGTATTATATCAACTGGGCACAATGGACCAATCATAATGATATTCATATCATCCAAATTCTTCTGATCATATGGTCCAAATGATAATGATATACATCATCCAAATTTACCCATTAGCTTGTAGAGATGGCTTTGGAGAATAAAACTGGCTTGCGAAAACTACTTGTGATATAGATATATATTTGTGTAAGTGTTAATAGTAGGAAACAAAAAAATTTGCATAAAAGAACAAAAAAAAAATCAATTGAAATCCCAATATATATGGTGTTCTTTTTGAGTATATTTTGATGTTCACATCGTTAAAAAATGTAACGAAAAGTGGTACTCTGGTAGGATAATCAGAAAGAAGTTTTAGCAAGCATGTTATAAAACTAGATCAAAGGCCAGTTTTAGGCTTAGTTATTATTTTTGAGCTATTCAGAGTAAAACTATAGTAATAAATTTGTTTAGAAAAATAATTTTGTTAAGTTTTAATTCAATCCTCTTAATCAAGTTTATGTTGTATTATAGAGTTTATCACTTTATCCCGTTCAAGTACACCATGTCACCATGTATGGGGTTGATAATCTAGGTGATGCAATTGGTGGGATATATTTACATGTTTTAGTCCATCAAGAATTGGTTTGGAGTAAGAATAGTTGCATCAGTGATCAAAATAATGTTTGCATAAACATTTAACGTATGTAACATTTTCTTCTCATCTTATTAATTTAGTTTTAGTAGATTTTCATCTATATTTATAAGTAGATGATCGGCATGCAGTAACTATATGTGCGTAGTTATTTAAATCGTTACATATCAAACATTAGTTAAGCCTTTAAACCGGAAATGTAAAAAATTCGTCTTCTTTTGATCTTGATTGATAGACCGATTCATTTTCGCTTATGATTTAGTCATTTTTTAATTTAATCATTATCCGAATCTAAATATATCCGAACCGAAACCGAACCGAAAAGTCATAAAATCCGAACGGATAATAAACTCTCATACCCGAATTATCCGAATCCGAATATATTCGACCCGAATCCGATCCGAAATCCGAATGGTCAGGCCTATCTCTTCATTTGCCTTTTGGAAACAAGATTATCTCGTTTGAAACCGAATGAACAACATTTTCAAAATGTTCCTAATCGAGTAGCTTGAATAGTTAACTTTTTCGGATAAAATTACTTAGGTAAATTTTGATAATCTCGTGGCAATGTATGCTGACAAGTATGCAACCACGTGGATAGGATGGTGAGCCCAGTGTGGGGGCTCAATTTTGGCCCACTTCAACTCGTCTGCCGACTACCTAACCAAGTAACCATGTCAAATCAATTTGCAATATTTTTGTTAATAATACAATTCTTTTTTGGGGGTCAATTTATTATTGTAACTTTGTTTATATCTTAGTTTCTATAGGATTTTTGTCCTTTATGGTGTTATTCTCTTTACATTACTTTCGAAGAATGTTCCATAACAAAGTTTGCTTTTTATAATATGAACTCTAAATGGAAAAGTTGTTATTTATATTCCAAACTTTCCAATTTGTGAACTTAGTGCATGTACAACGGACAATTGTGGTTGTACATATATATTATCTTTAAAAGTTCATAAAAATTCGTACTATATATAAGATTACTATTGTTGAAAATATATAAGATTACAAGACCAATTATTCTAATGTTTTGTGGAATGATTTTAAAAGAAACAAACCTTCAATAAAATTAGGGTTGAAGCTCTAAGAAAATGGAGCAATAGAAATTTGAGAACATAAAAAAAAAAAAAACAAAGTACTTTATGGAAGATGTTATATGTCCATTGAAAATGATTATGAGTAATAACTAATTAAGCTAGATTATATTGAATCTCATTAACCTGCCTTGATTAGACTTTTCCATAGGCACTTGAGTTTGGTTGGTGGTATGTATACTTTAGAATTATATATAAATAACAAAACCGATATCGAATAGTACAACAAAACTCTTTTTTGTATTTTTTGAGTATTGGTAAGGTTCAATGATCATCTCACTAGAAAGCTCCCTTTGTAGTTGTAGATTTTACAAATTAAATGGTTTTGCAATGATCACATTCTTACATATATATAACTAATTATCCTTTAGGCGTAATAATGGAGAATTTTATACATGTTATCAAAGGGATGTATTTGTTTTAATTCACATGGCTACTTCCTTCTTACAAGCTGAGTCTATACTCGACGAAAATCTTAACAACATCATTATCATTTCCCAGTTGATATATTTATCCTAAGAAATAAGAATCATCATAATTGCCGAATTTTGGTAGTTGAAAGAATCCAGAGGTGTTGACCAAATTTGTGTCAACGGCCAGACATTAATGACTCATTGACTTGTAATATCCATAGAATGTGCATATACAAACAAAGATGAGAAATAATTAGTGTATAAATAAATATATGCAAAAACTAAAAAATAACGATATAGTAATTGGTATTTAACTATTAGGTAAAGTGACCAGATTTAAGTAGTTCGACAAATATTTTAGAAGTAATTTGGAAAGATTTAAGATATTTAAATGAGATGACCTATCTTTTTTTTAATTAGAAATTAATGAATAAATTGTTTTGTAAGAATATTTTGTTTTTATATCAAACCGTTAGTTAAATAATATAAAGCTTAATTTAGACACAAAATATATAACTTTAATAACATATGATATTAACCGAAAGGTTCCAAAATTTGTAACCTTTATATCAATCTATAATATACACAATAAATTTATGATTAATCATAAATTAATCGATAAATATCTGAAATAACAAGTTTTGATATGTCTCTTTAACCAAAAATTTGTGTGCTTAAGTTCATATATATCAAAAGTCAAAACTAAATGTAATTTCTCTTCGTTTTTCGTTGGTTTTTTTTTTCTTACAAAAGGTTGACAACTTGACATTCATCTATCACATTTGATGATGTTTCGTTTTCGTTGTTTAATCGGGATGTTCCCGACTTTCACATTTTGAGTAGTCAAATACTGTGTCGGTTGCATTACGAAAATCGAATAAAATTTAAATACGTTGTAATGTTGTATATTAATGTGAGAGAGAAGTTTCCTCTATCGTTTTCATGTAGGTATGATGAAAAACCAAATTCTTGGCAAATAAAACAAAACCTACATTCAAAGTTTTAATCTTTGCATGATAATTTGAATAAATATCTAGTGACAAAATAGTGAAATACAATTATATATAGGCACTCAATTATTGAGTATCCCGAAATTTTATACGTGGCGGTTTCATCATATGCATCCATATATAGTTCCTCCACGTAGTAGTAATGTGCATGCAAAAAAAGAGGAAAACGTATAAAATCCATTTAAGTTATTGATAAATAGAAATGGTTAATCACTAATCTGATCTGTGATCTCTATCTATGAATGTCAATAAAATTATATTAGGAGGGAAGGCTACGTGTCGGGCACATATTCATTTGACCAAAGTCGTTGAAACCTTCCCAAAAACTTGGTCTGCTTACTCTATCTTTTAGCTTGAAATAGATTTTTGTTATCCAAAAGAAAACTAATTATGCTAATAGGTTTTAGGGATTTAATTAATTTTATAAATTTATTTACAAAACTTAAGCTGGACTAAACAATTTAGAAGAATGATCATGCATGTGCCATGATCTAGCTTAAATTTTTCTTAAACCATTACTCAGATTCCCTCAAGAAGAAAGTCAAACTTGTTTCCTATTTTCTTTTGTTTATGACTTTATTCTGATAAAATGTTTTGGTTTGTTTGTTTTACACAATAGTGTAGATAAATACATAACTATATATTGAGACATAAAGACATGCATATATGTTGACTCCGCCTTTCTCACCGGAGTTCGACTCCACTAAGTCACGTTACCCCGCGTAATAGGGATTGGCTATGGATCGAACATTGTCGATCCAAAGATGTCAAAAAAAAAAAACATGCATATACGATATATGTATATGATGTATATTCATTTTCTATATATAGGTAGTGTGATAAATTATTGTATAGTGTGTAAGATTTAAACTACATTCTGATTCTACCGACTTTGAGTAATTAAATATGGAAATTCGGAAAAAAAAGAAAAGAAAAGGAAATTCGAAATAATTTGATTTAACATTTTTAATTGGAGAGGGAATCATAATCTTTGAGAACATGACAAAATATTTGAATAGAAGATGCTTATTTTGACTATATGTTGGGAATAAATTGATTTGGTTAATCGTAGAATTAGTTAAGAGTTTAGGAAAGAATAAAATGTTCTCTATTCGCCATTTAATTACTTCATCAAGAAATAATTAGTTTACTAACAGGGAATTACGAGAGAAGCAGAAAACACATGAGGCACATGGAATTCCGATTTTGCAACAATTATAGTAATTAGACTATAAGAATTCGGTTACATGAAAATTGAATAATAATAATAAGGAATATTATACCGTTAAGGATGGTTAATGTTTGTAACTGGTCAAAGTAATGATTCTTAAATTGAGTGGTCAGTCAAAGTTTATAGTCACCATACTAACATGTCATCACTCATTGTTTTGTTTTCTTAATAAGCACTTAATTAGCC